CATTAGGCTCATGGAAGAAGAGAAGAATCCCACAACCTTGGGAAACACGTCCAGCCCTCTCTCTCTCTCTCTCTCTCTTCCAAGGAGTAGTTCTATTTCTTGTACTCCACTGATACAAGATCTAGATAGCTGTTGGAGAATACAGTAGAAGATCTTAAGGTATATACGGGATTCCAATCAAATCTATCATCCATCGAAACCGGAGACCAAAACCAGCAAGTGACCATACCACGACGACCAGGACGACGAGACGAAGAGATCGCCGTCGAGATCGCCGCCAGCCGCCGCCGCACGCGCCGCCATGCGCCGCCAGAAGGGAGCAGCTGCTGGAGCTTACTCGCGCCCGTGAGAGCGCGTGAACCGTCCGATTTCCGATCGGTCAATGCCGTTGACTTCGCCGTGACGCCAGCTTTCTGGATTGGTCAAGTTTGTTCGATTCAGAGAAGATTTGATTTGCGGTCATCTGTCCGGGCCAGCCAGATCTACATAAATTTTAAGCAGTAAGTTTTATACATCAAACCTTTACATCCGCTGCGCATAGGTTTTGTTGAATGTTTGTCCGTGATTTGTGCATATCGAGATCCTCATGGGTTCCAACAGTTGGTATCAGAGCACGAGGTTAATCCGTCATGTACAAGATCCGGATTAAACGGCTTTTATTGTCTATGTGTGCTCAAGCGCAGCCATATATTGGATTGTATGAATAACTTGGTTTTGCATGAAGTAGTTAATCCACTATTATGACCACCCTTTTATGTGCTTGTGCTTAATTGATGGTTGGTTGTATGGTTTTAAATTTGTTTTTAAAGCCTCGAGATTGTCGAGGAATTATGGATGAATGCTTGTATTAATTGCCCGGGGGTTGACCGGATAGTTTAATTTATTAGTAGAAGGCATGTACATCCACTCCTTGGATCTAGGAATCGATTTATGTAATTTTGTAAATTATATTTTCTGAATTGTGATCGACTGTTGGAGACCGGGCCTTCACAAAGATCCAAAGAGCCTCGACGGACAAAGCAAGGAAGAAACCGGAGCCGGGAGCCAAGGCTGGCCGGCGCGGCCTCGACTGGCAGCTTGGCAACATCCATGGTGGAGGTTTTGTGGACCTTGCAGTACAAGTCAACCGAGATTCTACTGTAGTGGGAGTTCCAGTTGGTTTAGGAAAGAAATCCTAATCCAAGAATAATAAATATTTAATTGGCCATAATAGTGGATATTTATTTATGGCATTAATTATTTATTTGTTTATTTATGCATGGGAATAATTGTTGCCTTGTGTGCATAGAATTATTTAGAATTGCATGAATATAAATATTAAAAATCCTCATTTAAAAAACTAAGTTGAGAAGGATATTTAAAGTTAAGATAATTTTTAAATTCCTAAGGCCTC